TGACCAATTAGCATCGTCAATCGTATCTACGAGTATACAACCCCCCTTAAGCTTGCTAGTCGGGCTTGTCAGCAATATAGGAATATTTACGCGTTTACTGACCTTAACTAATTCAAGTACCCAAATAAATGCGATTTTATTGACTTGCTTGTCCGGTCCCAATGTACACTTTCGGTAAAAACCCTCAGACAACAGAACCAGGAAGAAAGGCGTAGGCAAATATACATATAATATATATATATATATACATGCCAAAAGCTACTGATGCACAGACATAAGTCTGCGCTAATAAGGAAGGGGATCGCAAATGATCGATCTCCATCTGCTCAGACGTCAGGTGTCTACTAAAGCATTAAAATCGGCACAAATATCGTCTAAAATAGATGATTGCATAAACACTCTCAAAGTGCCGAAAAACCGAATCAAGGCCTTATAGGTCTAAGATCTTTGCATAGCGTGACGAGAACGTTCATCAAGCATTCATTACAGTTTGGAACAAGAAAAAGTCCCTAGAACGGTGGAATAGCCAGGTAAGGCAAAGCCGGTGGTGACGGTCTATGACAGTCGAACGCGGAAGTACCACCCGGCGGATCTCGTAGGCGGGGCCAGAATGTGTGCATGTTGCATGCACACGTGTTCCCTCGCCAGAGTCCGTGTGGCGTCCGTTTTCTCCCTATAGCCCCACGGTACCCCATGGGTGTTTAGGCCTAACGCCTTCGTGGCAGTTGGAGTATATAAAAAAAGGTAGGTAAGAATGTTGATCAAAGAACGAAAACCTACATTTACAAAGAAACTGCTCGGATTGAATGGAAAGGCCATAGTGGGCCATAGTTTCAGATATTCAGAATCACGAATCTAACAGCGGAAAGCTTAGATACAAAGCCCTGTGCCAAGGCTATGGAATTTGATTATAGAATCAAGTGCTTTAGACAGTGTATTTGGAGGTCACAGAAGATCCACGTGGGTCACAGTGGCGTTTAGGCTCGTTCTTACTTTATATTCTACAATCTCTAACTTTCTTGTAGCTGATGCCAATATTCAGTCGTTACGTTGGCTTCGTGTCTGTAAGACACAAAAAGATCAAAAGATAGGAATTAAATATTGCGTACTATATTGAAAATTCATATAATCACTCGCCTATTACACTTAAGCTTATGCAGGTAAGAATATGTCGCGTTTCCTTTCAGCATGTGCGTACGTGACTACGAAAAAAGGCAACACGTCGGTGATGTTAGCGAATGCTTGATACGTGCTCTGTCCATATAAATGAAAGGTAGAGGAAGAATACATGTACACAGTAACTGCTCTTTACCGTCAACGTGCCGTGTTTGATGCTTTGCATGTATATTTGACTGACAATCCGTACGGATACCTAACTTCGGAGCAATTTGACGTATAACGGTCTTATTTCAGGTTACGGAAAATTTTAGTATAGCCGACTGATAACATTTAAGAGAAAAACACTGTTGTGGTTTCAAAAAAGTTTGGATGAAACGTAACCGCTACACGAATTAAAAAACAAATGGGAAGAAAGTCATCTGGCCATGTATAAGATTCATCTTAATTCTACCCATCCATTGGCAAGGAGTAACTTGCAAAGATATACATATGTATTTGCCATCTCCTATGTTTGTTGTTTCAACTCAAAAAGCAGTTCGCCCGTTTTATGCGTTTTTGAATTCTATTAAGTCAAAAAGCACAAGACTAGATTTCTTTGTTTAAAATTAACTGCTGTTTTTGAAATAATGAATCTGCCTTGAGTTTGATCATAATTGCCTATGTACTACAATATAATAATTATTGTGTGCTCCTTGTATATGTCAACTGGACATATTTAACAATTATTACTTCACCACATCAATTTTCTGCTGCACGATTTTTAGAGAAAGTGCGTTTACCATGATTAGATTACCACAAATACTACAACAAAATCGAAAGATTTAGTAACCCCCGTCTCTGGGCAATAATTTTAATATCGTATCTGTATCGAATCTATAATCGACAATACTTAAAGTACATCCTCCAACTATATTTCATCAAGAATGCATGTTCTCTGTAAGTATGTACATAGTTATAATAGCAGACATTCTATTTTTAATTCATAAGCCCCATAACTACCGGAATGAGGGAATTGTAAATTTGCGAACGTCCAAAAGTTTGATGCTTAAAAAACGCTGTACGAACAAGAAGCGTCCTAGCGCTTATCCGTTTCGATTGATGTTCGATTTCTACCAAAGAGCCGTTGATTTCGGTAGGAATCCATATCACCGTAGACTTGATTTGGCACGAGCAAATCTCGTAAGTCGCGACAGATTCTGGGCTATTTGTTTAGGGCTTAGTGCTTTTCCCCACATAATCTCACTCTGAACAAGGCCCAGATAAAACCTAGCGTCGCGTACTTTTCACATTTTTGAGATGATGTCCCCTAGTAGAATATCCATGCTTAAAGCTGTTCCTATGGTGTCGCGACCGAGGAACAATATGCTCGAGGAGGCTCTTCCCGGTTCTACTAGGGTTTGGTAGTACAAAAATCGGATTAAGGTGAATTTAAGTTCCTTATAGCAGTCACGGTGCGCTAATATTTAGGTTTCTATCTACGCTGCTGCTTCGGTATTAAAAAATGATTTAAATATTACTAGATTGCCCAACTAAACTTTAAAAATAATGCTAGATTATTGACAATAAATGGATATAAGTAAGTCCTCGAGAAATTTCAGTGTTTGAAAATTAAAATTTTTTACTGTTTTGTGAGTTCAATTTGTATGCAACTTTGACAATGTTGTTACCATATTTTGCAATGTAACAACAGAAACTGGTTGACAAAATTTTGTAATTCCGGATTGACTTCCCGAAACAATAGGAGTGAAATTGTAATTCATTGGAATACCTCAGGAGTGAGAACAATTTCTAACAACTAGCTAATCAAAGCATACTGTGATAACGGCATTCAATATCCAAAACCGTTCAATTAAAATCCCTTACCGATATGTAATCTAGCTCCAAAAATGTTTTGTGGCATCATGTATCATATACTAAGTGACATATAAATCCGAACACCCAGTTTAAATGGTTTTATCCGCAGTAAAGAATCAACGTTGGCGGATTTTGGTTCTTGACATCCTTTACGATCGGTTACGATGCCTAGAGTACGGAGACCTGTACGATTTCGTCAACTTAGTGAGTTTGATAGGGGCCGTATAGTGGGACTTCGGGAAGCTGGACTTTCTTTTCGGGCAATTGCAGTTAGAGTGCAAAGAAGTGTAGACACTGTGGTTAGGTGTTGTCAGGCATGGCTTCGAGAAGGCCGTACGCAAAGAGCAAGGGGCACTGGACGCCGCCGTAGAACAACAGACCGTGAAGATCGCCGCCTAAGATTATTGGCCTTAAGGGACCGTTTCTCCACTACCAGGTCCATTGCAAATGAATGGTTTGCAGAACACGGAAGACCTATTGGCATGCGAAGTGTTTACCGACGAATGAGAAGTTTTGGCTTGTTTTCATACCGGCCACACTGGGTCCTCCCTTTAACTCGAGAACACCGACGTAATTGCCTTGAGTGGTGCAGACAACGGTCACTCTGGGATGAGGAATGGAACAGTATTGTCTTTAGTGACGAGTCTCGATTTTGTTTAGGCATGCACGATGGTCGTGCCAGGGTTAGAAGGCGACGTGGTGAAAGGAGGAATCCACAGTTTTTTGTTGAAAGACATGTTCATCACACTGTTGGAGTTATGGTTTGGGGTGCTATAGCTTATGGTTCCAGGTCACCTTTAATCTTCATCAGAGGTAACATGAACGCGCAGCGTTATATCCACGAAGTTCTAGAACCCCATCTTTTACCCTATCTTGACACCCTGGCAGATACAACTTTCCAACAAGACAATGCCCGACCACATGTTGCAAGAGTTACAATAGACTTCTTTCAACATAATGATGTCACATTGTTACCATGGCCACCAAGATCTCCCGACTTATCACCAATTGAGCACGTGTGGGATATGATGGGTAGGAGATTGCTCAATTTGCAACGTCCTTCTCAGACTCTAGAAGCACTTCGAGAGGAGTTGGTGGTTGCCTGGAATGAGATACCACAGGAGGACATTGACCACCTGATCAGAAGCATGCCTAGGCGCGTTGGAGAATGCGTAGCACATCAGGGTGCATCCACACATTATTAAAGGTCAAAGGGCTTTAAAGCAGTGCAATCATTTTGAAATTTTTATCATTTATTTATTATGCTTCATTAAGTACTTATACAAAATTTTATTAAAATAAAACCATTTAAACTGGGTGTTCGGATTTATATGTCACTTAGTATATTTCCGATAGCCCTACGTATTCTACATGGAGTCATAGGCGTTTTATTCTAATCAGTTTAGAAAGGACATCATTTAGAAATCATGTTACTATCATGACTGAAAACACAATGTATGGTTAAAGACCTACGAGAGCAAATACTTAAGTTCCAAGTATTACTGAACTAAGAACATGATATTCACTAAGAAAAGATAGTTTTTGTTTTTTAACTGACGTGTAGGCATACGCGTAACAATATGAATCCATTTGTGGTATGGAGATATGTCTATGTCTAGTAGGGGGAAGCCAAAAATGTCCTCGTTGAAGTACGTACACTGTTCAGGAAATGAATTGGATAATATTAATGAACTGTGAAGTCATAAATCTACAAAGCATGGCAAAACGTGAGTGAAACGCATATACAGATTGCGGTAGGTTATGTTGAATTTTTGTGACATTTTCCAATGCACAGAGGTACTACGCCATGTTCTACGCCCACTAAAGTACCGAGGGCAACACCGTCCTGTATAATACGTGTATCCCTTACTATCTCTAGTCTTCGTGCCCTTGATTTTTGCAGATCGCTTTGACACTGTTTGTTCATCATAGTACCATTTTCATTTTCGATTATAGGGAAATTGATGGCTTAGGTATGCAGTGATTGATATAATGGGCCTAAACCTCTATTTTATAATCACACTTACCCTATCAGTGATCCTTTCTTCAACCTTGCCTCTCTTGAGTGACCTTGCTCTGATGATCTTTCCTGGACCTTCGAACTCATCCATTTCCCGATCTACTGACCGAAACGTAGGAACGAGTTTTCCGAACAACCGCGGGGTGTTTTTAGAAATTTTGATTGTATCTGTTCATCGGACGGGCGCGATTTTTTTCACCATTTTTCTGTTGAGGTGGTGGGCTCGTGTTGTATAGTATCTGCAAAGAAAAAAATTGGATAAAATAAACATGCTTTTTGCCGATGTCCTGAAGAATTTTAAAGTTGGATTAAAGAGCCCAAATTTTTTAGTATACTGCTGATTTTAAAGACACGATAAAGGTTCTTGTAATATACCTCATCCTTCTCGAATACAGTTATCAGCTTTTGGAAACTGCCAACTTAACGGCTTACAGTTATTAAAATATTCCCTAGATTCTTACTAAAATGGCTAAATTCTACTTTGGATACCTCACAATTTTTTATAAATACTGATGCTGCATTATAAAGGGTCATATAGATAAACCAGTTTTATTTCAAATATAGTCCAATCCAGATTTATATGACTGGTCACGAAGCATCTAAAACTTCATTGTTTATAGTACCAGGACAATAGCGTTTATTGATTATAATACATAATAAAATAAGTAAGGCATAAACTTGCTGTAACCAATAAATACACAAAACAAATTCTGATCTCACGAGCTCTTACCCACGACATTGTTATATTTTATATGTAATATATTTGTAATTCTGATGACGTTAGTAAATTGACAGCCAATTTGCATCTTTTGTAAATTTGTTTATTTTATTAGCGCTACGAATAAGTTCAGCGAGTTAGAGAGATATCGCTCTGCCAAATTCCGAGTCACAAAATCCTTTTAGTTTGAGCCTAAACAGAGCCTCATTATTTTCAATGTTTAGATATATAACAGAAAACTCCAGGAGATTTGATTTAACCCCCCTGTATCCGAGCCGAGCGCAAAATCCTTAGCGTACAGATCTTGTCTCTTCTACTTGTCAAATTTCACGTTCAAAGGTAAAATATTTTCTTTCACGTAATGAATGTGTAAATTTTCACTTTTATATGTGTTCAAGTATATCTGCCCTTAGTCTCAATTAGTCCAGATGTGTCGCAAAATCCGTTCTTAGCTGACATTCTCCTCCTGCCCAATTTCATATTCATAGGCCAAAAAGTCTTCGAGATTTCGTCATTAACGAGCGATTAAATGTTCACTTTTAAATATATCTGTCTCCCTTAATCAAGCCTGTTGCAAAAACCATTCTTAGCCGACACGTGCATAAACTGCCTCTTTGCTAAGTTCAATGACTATAGGTTGAATAGTTTTGGGATTCCGTGATTAATAATGATCGAGCATATTTTCACTTTCATATTTATATCTGCCCATAGTTCTCCTTAGTCCAGCACTGTCTTAGCTGTCTTATCCATAAACTACCTCTGTTAAATTTCATGTTCATAGGTTAAGTACTTCACGACAAAAAAATCTATAAACATAATCTGAAGAATAGTGATAAGATTCCTCCTACCTCCTTCAACCCCTTGCTACTATATCTTAGGGATATAATTTCTTTTATCTCGTTAACGATAAAATTTTAGACAACACGTACTCCTACTTCTAGGCTGGCTCAATTTGAAATATTCTAGTTTCAGAACATAAACATGTAAACTGCAAACCACCGCTTTACCCCCTGAGGAGTGGCATTTCAGTACCAATTTATGCTATATCAAGGAACCAAACATTAGAAGCACGTATGTCTATCCATAAACTTCAAAACTGATAGTAACTTTTACCCCTGATTTTAATATTCCTTCATGCTCAATTTTTGCAATTTAAAATATCATATAACCATCAACAAGGTCTGCAATACAAATGCTAAAATTCATCAAAATCGGTTAAGCCGTGTTGGCGTGAAAACGGAACATGCAAACACACTTTCACATTTATAATATTAGTAGAGATATGAAGGAAGTAGGGATTATTATTTGTTGTAATTGGAAGACTGATTGTACAATAATTTGATTGACATACATATGTAAAACTTGCATTCATTTACTTTCTTGCAAATGTCCAATAGTAATTATTTGATAAAGCTTGAACAGAAAAATCTGATTTCAAAGAAGTACTTAGTCAGAGAACAATGTGAATCAATGGCTATATATTTAGCATTTTGAATATAAATTAGATTTAAGGAAATCAAACACTGCATTGTAAAAATACTTCTTGCTAAGTATATAGTAATAATAATAAAATTGCCTTTACCTAGCGGTATTCAGCTTAACAGCTGGTTTCACTACAAACCATATAACCATGGACGATAGTTATTTTCAACACGTAAATTTATTAAACAGATGAATGTAGTGTACTTGAATCCTGTTTGCACCACTCTTCACTCTTAATAACGAATTTAAAATTATTCTAATTACAATTCATTGAAAGGTATGAAATTTACGGTTTTCTAGCAATTAATGCGTAGCCCAAAGAGATGTTTGTTGATAAATTTTTACTATTAGCATTCATTCTTTTTAGAAACTCAATAGACATGACATGAATGGATATTACTGAAATCTATGAAGCCAAAAACAAATTATGTTTTGTTATTTTGGCAATTCAGATTTGCCACGATTGTCTACGGTCACAGGTTGATTCAATACATTAGATAATAGCTAAGTTAATAGTTTCACTACCTATTTTTTACGATGAGACAATACAAGCTCTGATTTCATGAAGTGATCGAGACTCTCAATCATGTTTGGATGGTTTGGATTTATCCAAAGGAAACGATTGTGGGCTGGTCTTAGACGGTGGTCGGCGCTACATTAAAAGAGGAAAGGATGACTGCGGATGCCTACCGAGGTAAATTTTTATAATAACAGAGTCGGAATTCGATTAGCGATCTAGCCTGTAAATCGTTTCCTATTTTGGTACTCAGCTAGTGATCATTTAGTATTGTTCTACCCTTGTTACTGTTCGTCGATATTGTGTTGTTGAATTGTTGTGTTGTACTCTTGCTGGTGTGATTATTCTTGAGTGAATTTTTTATCAAGGTTGATAATGGACAATAAAAGGTCATATGCGACAATTTCAATTAAGAATTCAATGGGTTTAATTCATGACGAGGATAACAATATTGTGAAGCAGTTCAACTATATAATCGCAAAATACATTGGGGTAAGCGAATAAGTTATTGCAAGAAGAGGTCATACCATGGAAGATGTGCTGCAGCTGTAGTGAGCCACAATACCGAGCGGCCTGTCTATGTGGTCCATATACATTTGCGTTCTAAGCTTAGTCCAACCTCGCTTATCACTAAGATGGAACAGAGACTCAAACGCAAGAATCTTGGAAAGAAACTCAGACCAAAAAAAGTTGATATAAAAAATAACTAACAATTCGGATAGCAATCCCAAAGAAAATATATAATAGTTTTATGGCGAATTCTGTCAAAAACCTGACATGAACGACATTGATTTGGAGGTTGCTAAGCAAGAATTTTTAGAAAAAGTGACAACGAGATTTTGCATATCGAACAAGTCAACTTTGAGGCGTCTTCATCGGAGGATAAGGTTGCAAGCGTCTCGATTTGGTGAAGTTTGTAGAAGAAGGCAGACAACAAGCTGTAAAGTTCTAGTAAACTCCATCATATACCCAACAGAGTTTTCTAGCAAGGCAATAAAAAAAGGCAATACAAAAATGATTGGACACGGCAGTTCAATCTTGTGGTTTGTTTATTGATCGCACACATCCATTTCTGGCAGCATCACCTCCATCTACCTATTACAGTAGACAAGACATGTACTTAATCCAGATATAAGCCTACCTGTTTATATTGCTTTGCAAAAACTACCTAACTGTTTCCTCTTATTTTGACGGCATAAGATGATGATGACCTCCGTTCAATTGTTACCATCTACCACACGACCCTTGTAAACATAATTGTGTTTATTGACATGAATAAATGAATTAGAATTTGAGTTCTTGAATTTATTTTAGGAAAGATATAAAATTATTTGAATAAGCTTACTTTTTATTATTTCCAAATGCAGTGTGTTAAAAACAAAGTCCACAGGGTGCCAGCGATCCACTTTTTCGATTTTATCCACTAGGTTGTTTTTGAAATATTAAGAAGTTGAGCACAAATAGTTAGCATTTCAACCCACCATAATTCTTACGCAAAGACAAAATTTTGTAAAAAGCTCTGATAGCACCCTAGGCAATTATGGCTTGCTTATATCCAGAAAAACATCACAAATTGCAGAACACAAAAAAAGGTAACGGCGAAATGGGTACATTTCACGGGTTATGAAATTCAAATGAAAATGCAGGTATAACATCTACCAAATAATCGTTCTTAGAAATATATTTCCTTGACATATCGATAATTTCAAAGTTCCACGCTAAATTCCCCTATACTTGACTGGATTAATATCCGAATTTATTCTTCCCTACTGTCGATAGTTGCAGATCTGTTGGCTGTTGGTGTCAAACCTATAGAGCAGGTACCGATCTTTTGAAATCGTGAGCACATTATTCGTCGGATTTTCGATACTTAAATTTCCTGTAATCACTGGGATCAGAAGCTTCTTAGTAACAGAACGTGTTTCACTGATTTCAACCCCCCGTTTTTAAGTAGTACAATTTTTTTATGTCAACGTCAAAACCGGAGTTTCAGCAATTGTTAGTTTTTCTTTTTTGCCTATAGCACCGTTGCCACTGGACTAAAACTACAAAGCTTTGGCATACTAGTAACCGCGTGTGGAAATTTCATAAAAATCCGAGCGGTAATTTCCAAGTTGATGATGAGTGATACAGTTTTTCGTGATGTAGATGTCATATGACTTAAAAAAACATAACACCCCATTTTAGAAATTTTTCGCAATTACAATACTTCCTCCCCAATGACGTGAGAAGTAAAACGGCTTTAAAATCGAGGAGTATCAGCGATCGCGGTTATGAGTACCTATTTGCAGAACGAGTTATCTACGCCATATTATATGAAATAGAGCCACCAAATTATCTGAATACGTCCTTTTTTAGTCCGTACATTGCGCCGCAACGCTTGGTTTGGCAGCACGAAACAGTAGACAAAATTCGTCTTAAATACGATTTGTAGAGGTTTGCGCGCTTCAAAATTGACGCTTTATTTTTTGATATTTTTGGATGAAATTTTCACAGAGTGCTGAAAACAAAACCCCACAGGGTGCTATAGAGCCACTTTTTATATTTTTTCACTAGGCTCTTTTTAAAAAAAGTTGAACAGAAAAAGTGCGCACTTCAACCCATCATAAAACTTGTGCAAAAACAAAAAATTTCAAAAAGTGCTCCTATAGCACCCTGGGCAATTATCTTCTCAACATACTGTATGAATTTCATTGAAAAATATTGAAAAATGGAGTATCAGTTTTGAAGCAGCTGAACCCTTGTAAATGGCTTGAAACTCACTGCGTCGGAGCCGCCTTAAGAAATTTTGTTCCTCTCAATATAATTCAGAATTCTCAACAGAAGCAATCAAAAATTTTATTAGGAGATTCATGTTGCCAACGATGCATGACAAGTGTTTCCTATGAGGTCAAATAGGACGTTTTTCAAACATGAGGAAAACATTAGTTCTTACTGAGTTATCTGAATTCACCAACATCAGTATGCTCACGCATGAATAACAAAAAATATATCTACGAAGATAGTTGAGTTGGTCGTCGAGGACCTCACTCATGATCTGCTTGAAAATATAACAAGAGTTCGCCAAGATATGAGTAGACGACTAAAATCAAAGCATTGGATTTTCAGCATGAAAGGGTACGACGTGCCCCAGTATCCAAATCTAGTGCCGCGAGGTGTGTAGATTAACCAATCTGTTTATTTATAAATGGATTAAAAAACGATAGGCGCACATTCCAATAGCAATAACGAAGTTATCGATTTGATGTTAGTTTGATGTGTGTATATTCAATATTCTAATATCTCGCGAGTGTATGCAGCTCATTTTTCTGGGTTTTCCAATCCAGATCTGCATAGGTTTGTTTATCTCGTCCACAGATCGTGGAGATGGACTCAGTAAAAGACCTAGACAGCCTCAAATATTGTAAATTTAGCAAGAAATTAATAAATAATTTGTGATTCAGCTTTAACACTATGAGCGAAACGTGACACAGTTCAGTAGAGAGAGTACAGAAATTTGAATAGTGACTAAATTTCTTCAATTTCCTTTTTACGTTTTCGCTTCTGCGTTAGCGCACATAAACTATGCTATTTCAAACGTAGTTGTTTTTGGAAATAAAAGTCCCAAGTTTCAGGATACCTGTATATGAAAAACGGAACTGTTCCTTAATAATCGTCATAAAGACAACATAGTCATAAAATTATAGTAGATCTTTTGAGTCCATGCCACATACTTGTTTGGAGAAAGTATCATTTTCAATTTCTGTGTCCAATTTGAGATCCCAGGTATTTTTTTACTCGTAGTTTGTAAAACCTTGTTACAGCCCAAATGTAAAAACAGTTGTAAAATGTGGACGTCAACTGTTCCAAGTTTCGCTTGTGCTTCCCGTTATGAATGAACGTCTAGCCGCTTGGTTGGCTGAATGTTTCATGGCCTTTTTCCACCTACATACCCATGATCCACAATCCAAATGACCACCGAAGAATGGAGAAAAAGAATATCGACGCGATATGCTCTGGCTGTCTGATGGCGTTCACGCACGGAAATAGGATACATCGAATAGTTTAGCACTACGCTTTGGAAAGGCAGTTGCATTCTGAATTTGCATTCTAAAACATTTATGACTATAAAACTATGAAAATAATAAATGGGTTAAGGTGAAAATGGGTAAAATGTGCCATTTGCCATATTTTATGGAATATTTTTTATACCGAGGCAGAATCCTAAATACCAGGGCTCCGCGGATGCTATTAGGAGCTTAAAGACACTTTGTAAGTCTGATTTTTGGAACGCCCAAGATTAGTAGAACTGGGAAAAGCTTCTTCATGCAGATTGTTCCACAATCCCGATGCCCTAGCGACAAACAAGCGGTCGTATCGGCCAGTTCTATATGTACGGTCATCGCACAGCGGCATCTATGGAGGAGAGCTCGGGGAAACATTCAGTGATCAGTTCGAAAGCCCTCGTCTGAACAGCATCAAAAATGGATAATGTCTCAGCACCCCAAACATGTGAGTAGTACTCAGTACAAAGTGACGCATCAAAAACCCTCATGCTGGCTTGTCATTTTGGAGGGCTCGACGGCCTTTTTCTTAAGCAGGAATGCCTACACACAGGCGGTCCTGGGCTATGCTGGTTTTGCGACGTGTCATCTTAAAATTTGGAGTGGTAGCTTTGCGCAATCTCAGCATGTTACGGGACCTTCACAATTGTCGTAGCACACTGTATAGGAACATGAAAATGAAAATCACAAGCGAAGTATCAGGCAGATAAATAAAATATATTTTCAGTCATTGTACTGAAGAAGGTAAGCGGTGTGATCGAAACGTTTACATTAAATATTTTTTAACACACGTAGTTTCGATTGGCCAGAGAAATATGAGGGATCTCGACATGAAAACCACAGAATATGTTTCAAATGTTACAGAACAATGTTTGCTGTTTGCTTGACACACATTGCCGCAGGTTGAACGTTTCCATAAGGTGCGTGACTATACCTCCTGTTCTCACTAGCAGAACTATTTTGTTAGCTGCCATTCTATTGCTGGTAGAAAGCCTGCCTGAGTTATAGGCAATCAGTAATTATAGTGATAACGTCACAATAGCATGTGAAGCTCAGTAAATTGGTTATTAATACAAATAGGTTGTCATCTCAGAAGCCCGCAAAGGGTTAACATGTAAAGCTCCGAGTATTTTTGACTATTACTAACGTTGCATTTGCATGAATTTGAAGAAATGCAACATTGCAACAAAATGGTTCCATCTAGGATTTAACCACAAAATAAACCATAAGAAAACAATAGTAATAAAATCGTATGGTCCATCCGGTTTTATGAATATCGATCATATTTTTTCATTCAGGTTTTTTTTGTAGTTATTGTTTGTAGTGACTCTACAATATTTTCGTTGATATCGCAACAAATTACCTTCAACATAGTTTGTTATGATAAACCTCACCGAGGAAGCTACTATTGTTGTCAAAAATCTTTTGTTTAACTTTCTGGAAAGGTTTTTCGGAACCAAATTTATGGAAGAGTGCTGACTTAACCCATCAATTTAAATCAATTGAAACAATGATTTCAAAACAAGCGACCAGTCAACGAATCTACTTTTACATGACAGTGTTATACGAATAATTTATAATAAAGTTGTACAAAATTTCAAAATAATAATAGTGCACAATTTATGACACGTTTCGCATTTTATGTCAAAAGCATTATCAAACATATCGATTATTTAAAGTGGTTACCTAGATTACACATAATTTCACTAGTTAACTCGTATAATTAAAGAAAAAAGTTAATAAAATAAAAGATATTTTATAAGTACACTTAAACATAGCGTTCTGTTTACCCTATATAAATGGTTAGCTATTAATTATAACGATTTGGTTGTATCCCTTCCCCGTGCATTTGAGAAAAAAATGTTCTACAAAGCAGGCGAATCATAGAAGTATTTCATCAAGAGCAGCTACAATTTACAAAACTAATTTTACGGCGGTTAGATGAGAGAACGCATGAACATACGCTAGACGCTGCATCTCACATATAATCTATAACGCAATTGCATTTCGCAGATAAGCCGGGGCACTTACCTCATAACTCACACTTTCCACTCCAAAAACCTTGATAGCAAAAAAAATTTACACAAATTAAGACATGAAAACATATGCCTTTGTTCTTGCCGCTGTGCGACACCGTGTCGCTGCGCGCACGCACAAAGTTTCCTTCACTGAAATCCAAATCAACTGTTCAGTTATGGCAATTTTTCGGTTAATTGAGCATGACAACTGACGGCATTTATGACGATGTCTCGATTCCATAGATATGACCTACCTTAAACACAGATTATAGTTCAACGTATATCAATCTGATTCATGTCGCATTAAAATGAATGCAATTTTATTGTTTGCGTGATCATTACACAGAGTAATTGTTAGTTGATAGGACGGAGGACCACATACAATGAAGAAGTTATGTTGTTGAACGAGAGCTAGTGAGTTCTGTAAATATATATATATATAGATATATATAAAATACTGTATAACACCCACACTAAGATTTACTTCTACGTTCGTGGCCCATCCATGAGGGGTAGGAATATTGCCCCTAAACAAACATTTATCAGAGAAAACTACGAGTTAGTATACAATGTATCTGGGGGCACAATTCTAAAATAGTCGCAGTCATGTCGTCGTTGTTGTCTTCTTTCGATCAGCTCTGGCATTTCTTACACAAGCTTCCATCCGATCTCCTCCTAGAGAAGCTTTGCAGATGGATGGCCAGCTGCAAGATATCTATAGTAATTGACGATTTCAGAGATCAGTCTCTTGACGCCAACATTGTTTATATTACATAACACCGACTTCCTCTCCTGCACCATCAATCCCATCCACAGCTTTGTCGATGACAGTACTCTACACGTAGGTACTCGGCGAGGCAAGACGACCTCTGATGATGAGCTGGAGAGAAGAAGACTAGTAGCGACTTCCTCTCTGACGAGAAACCTGGACTTGGCGTCACCGCTTGGGAGACAACAATCTGACACAGTTTAATGATTCAAGAGCACAGTACAAGAAGCGCCCTAGCGCTCATGCGGTTTGGATAGTATGGCCGAGTACTACCAGAGACTCGTTCATTTCGGCTGGTCGAAGTAATAATAACTGAGGACTTGATCTTGCACGAACGCATCTCGTCAATCGCAGCAAAATCACAACATACAGCAACAACTCGGAATTTTAAAACTTTTTAAACGGCATATTGTTAGGCTTGAAATTCGTATCACTTTTGTTTTCCAAGATCCTCATCATAGACATCCCTATCTTGGACACACTGTATACACATTAGATAATTTAATATTAAATTGCCTTGTAAAAAGCTGCTAGAATGGAGTGTATGGTCTGTACTTACTGGTACCGAGTTTTATGATCAGTTGTCATCCACCTTCTCCTTTGACGTGGCTTTTTCTTTTTTTTCAATAACAAATATAAATTATACGCACTCATCAGTACTGTAAAAGCGCTTAGAGCAATTTCGGTTTCTTTTTTAACTGCTCAATAGAATAAATCATTTTCATATTCTGTTGAATATTGCGCCATGCATCGGCTACTAAATTTCTATTTTTATACTCCTTGCGAGAGGCGTTCCATATTATTGGATGCGCCTGGTATAACTCTAAAAATTCTACAACTTTTTCGTTTGTCCACGCGGGTAGCGATGTTGTTGATGACATATCTTCACATACGCACTCGATGCGTGTTACAACAAGACTGAGCCAGTGAGCCAATATGTGGACGGATTGCCAACGTTGGCGCAGATTCTTTTGATAAAACCAACAATCGACAGCCAACTGCCAACGGTCGCTCCAACGTTGGGGCCAACGCTATTTTCTAGATACACACGTTGGGCGAGTGGCGTTGGTGCCAACGTTGGGGCCAACGTGTGGAGCCGGCGTTAGGGATTATATCATAGGTATGGCACAATGGCGCTACCAGCAAGCGGAATCGCACAGCAACCCTTTTGTTTCGTGAAGCAGTATATTACACAGTCGAGGAGATACGCAAACATTCCGACTCGTACTGCAAACAAAATTAAATTCATGTTTAGACCTGTAAAAATCAAACACTCAAAATTCAGTTCAGGGCAAGTCAAAAAAATGTATTCAGTACAATGTAACAGTAGTTAGATCTATCACACCTCAAATATTTACATAAAACAATTTCTTTTCTTTCTCTTCTCGCTACTACTTCCTTCCTTTTTTCTCCCTCTCCACTTTCCCCTCCAGCTTGTCTGGTTTCTTGGCCATCAGACCTGACAGACTGACGACAGACAATGACATTACAGTGACTATGACCTAAAGATCATCCAGACCGCCTTGAGAAGCAATGACGAGTAGTAAATGTGGCTATTACACTGACCCAAGTCTTGCATTCTTTTACAACCATTCCATCCCGGTGTAATGCTACTATTTGCAAAATTTTCTCTTTTTACTAAGCTATAAGCAAACAATCAGGTTTTGGTACGGATCTCACCTCCTTTTTGGAGTTATACCGAAGACAATGAACTCATATGGCGATGGCGTCATACATAACCCTTTATTTCACAAGTGATACGCCAAAATACGGACCCCAATTTTTTTCACTAACGTCGTCTAGATTCTCCTTACAATGTAAGACACCCAGCATCACTGATGACACTTTGAGTACTCTATAAAATATACTAGCCTCTTCTATTTCTAACAGCTAATCCGTTGAGTGCACGCACAGCATAACTCTCGCCCACATTGACATTAACCTTCCACGTCCCAAAATACCATCGATCGGCAGCAGTGGAAAAAGGTTGTTGGTGTTGTTTTTATCTGTGGAGAACGCATCTCGACGATTTGTCACCGGCATGACAGCCCCTGATGACATTTTGGAGTTATTTTAACGATGTCGAACGCGCCAAGATGCAGCTCTTTAACTGCCGCTATCGTTATGGTTTATTTAAACGGGACATCGTTTGATTGCAGCCGAGGAATGCAGCTGTGCTGCTGCTGAGGACAGCTCGCGTTTGATGGCCGGGGTACTTGGTGACTGAAGCATTGACATGTTTTATTATGAATGCATTGGGGAATATCCAATTTCCGGACATTTTTCTCTACGAGACAGATGCCAGAAGATGTTGAGTACCAATCTACAGAGTGTTCTGAAGAGCAGGGTGGCAAGCTTTTAGTGTCGGGATGCCAGGATGCCAGGTTATCAAGAGAAAAACAAAGGGCGTGGGCATGTCCGCAATAAAGGAACAGGAGCAGTAATAGGATAACAAGGATGGAAAGGGAAATACAACTAGAAGCCACCAAGAGCCAGCAGGCAGATTTGTGGCTTCGGTTTCCCGTCAGGTTACACCCGAATCCAGATGTGATGCTTATATGTTTTTACTTCGATGTTTTCGCTACACATCCATTTAGTCCTGATGAAGCCAATAAGCAGAAACGTTCGTGGCATGGGTGACCAATTCTTCCATTTCTGCCCCTGTTCCTTTATTGTGGAAATGTTCACGAGTGTTCTTTGTTTTTCATCTAAGTCTCCGCAAGACTACTTGTCTTTCCTTATATTTACTCTGGACTTAAATTACCGCGGCAGCTAGCCTAGCTGGCATACGTGGCGACGTTGGTTGATACCTCGTAACCACAAGGTATTTTGACCAAAGCCATAAATGTGACTGCTGGCTCTTGTTACTAGATTCTAGTTGAATTCCCTTGTCCATCCTTATTTTCCTGCAGGTTACACCCATATCCAAATGTGATGGCCAAATGTCTTCTCTTCGGTGATTTCAGTTCACATCCATTTGGGACTGATGAAGCCAATAAGCAGAAACGTACGTCGCTCGTGTTACCAATCATTCTATTTCTGGTCCTGTTCCTTTGTTACGGACATGTCGACGAGAGCCCTTTATTTTACATCTCAGTTTCCGTAAGACTACTTATCTTTGTAGGTTATCAAGTGGTCATATAGGATTTTGGTTGAGAGATAATCCAGCCTAAAAATAAACAACTTCTGGTGTCCCAGATAATATGCCATTTAAAAATTCTCGGCCGAAATTTATTCAATTTTTGCTAATTTGGATCGATGTCAAGTGAGCTAATTGTGGAGAATTCAGCTTTGTTTCTGTTCCATTATGATTTGTAGCATCTATACGAGAATTATGGAAAGCATATTGATATTATAACTCCTCCTTCACGACCTCTATTTGGATGCCGAATAGGGTCGGTACTTTCTTCGAGGGATTAACAAACAAGGCCTCCATCACAAGCTATCTTTCCATCCATTACTGACTCATTCATAATTACCCCCACAAGAAAAGCCGAGTGTTATGGTTGTTCTAGCATTAAAATAGCTTGGTACAGCTAGAAAAGTTGTTTTATTGGCAAGAGACTGCCAGGAAATATCATTTGCACTGACGATACATTCGATCCTTCACCGTTCTACATTCTAATTTTCAGCCGTGCTACCGTAGTTTTTCCCATAACCATAATTTTCCCGCGGATGCGCGATAAAAAAAGCAGACGCACCTGCCAATTATCGAGTGGTCTATAATAAGAAACCGTAAATGCACCAGTTAGACCGGCATTCTGCTGCTCTGACATGCCGATCGTCGGTTGCCACTTGCTTTGTTTTTCATTTTTACAGTTAAAAAATGCGCAATCTACTGCGACTTGTTCGTCAGTCCATTATCTTTTCGTTACCAGTATAGTCCAGTTGCTTTGACCATATACTCACTTTTGGTAATATCTCTTCAAGATATATGTCACTTTAGCCTAACAGAATTGACTGAGAAGTCTCTGGCCAGCAATAATAAGATTCCAAATACCCAAGATTAAAAGTAAGATCTCGCTTCAAAACTGTCGCAAAAAAGTTCTAACACGACCAAGTTAGTTCTTCCACATTCTGTCATTAGAATGTGACCCGATATTTTGAAAAATGTATATGACATTGACAGTTTGACCTAAAATTTGTCAGGTTCAAACGTGGCCAAACAGTAAACGTAACATCTGAAACTTATCATGTGGTCTTCATGCTGATACTCCATGTCTCTTGGCCAAAATAAAACGTTACTTTTTACTGACAGTCCGGATACCCGGCAGGGGTATTATGTATAAAACCTAAAAAACGTCTAAAAAAATCGACGAAATGTCAACTTGCAGACTAGGTATAAAGAATACTTTTTGGTATGCAAATAGTTCATTCTATGTTCGCTCGCTATGATCGCTGTTCGCTGACGTTTAAGCAACGTCTAAGCGTTCAGCTACAAAACGAGTTCACAACAAGTGTACAACAGCTTGTAGAAAAACCTACGTTATGTCACAAAAAACCTACGGTAAGTCAGAAAACCGACGAAATGTCGCTTTTTAAGATACGTAATACCCGTGCCGTAAATTTGCCGGTTGCCTGTTTCAAAGTACAGATAAATAACAGTGACAATGTATTTCATATTTGAATAGCCGCTGATTATCTAGTACACATTCAAAAAACCCATAACAACAAATAACACACAACTCTGACAGATACGCCAAATCTGTAGAGTGAGTATTTTTTGGAGTTTTTTCATGCTACTGTTTCATACTTTTCTACTTACAAAAAAAATACAGTTTTTGGTCAGAAACTCTGAATACGGTTCTGAATTTCATCCGATTAATTATTTCCAACAATATGGACTTTAATACAAAGATATGACTTTTCCATCTCAATAGATGTTAAAAAGTTTTGAAGTATGATGAAAATAGATTACTTGGCATAGAAATCAATTCCTATTGGATGAGGACTTTAATAGGTCATACTTCAACATATTTATGTTTTCAGCTATTAAAAATGCAATTTTATTCTGTCTAGGCCCCCTAATTGTATGTATCATTTTATAGAAGGTTAACAAAATTCTCACTCCCCAGTAATCAAAAAGTTTCAGTGTGCCCGAAAATTTTGGAATTCGATGAACTGCATTTAAAACATTTTCAAGTTAGTGGTAATCTTCGACATAGAGTTGAAAATTTGGGAGCGTATGTAATTTTGTAATTTGAATACACGACAAGTGTAACTCTATAGTTTAAATGTTCAATATACTTCGCGACTTTGTGGCATAGTACTAGAGGCATTTTATATGCTCTTGTAAATAAAGTTCTAAAAGCATTTTGTATGCTTTTCTAAATATTTAAATCGTATGTACCACTACTGCTGTGTATTTGGGATTCATCTATCAAAACAGCATACGAAGTCTGAGAACGAATTGCCTGGACTATGACATCCTATTGTTGGTATAACAGATACTTCTGAAGTATGCGAGGACGCTAAAAACAAGGCATCCCGGTAGGTAACATGAACAACAATGGGCATTTTTCTTGAGCCATTGTTCGGATTTTAGATACAGCTCATTTGGTACGTTAAGGCGCTTCAGACTATGAAAAAAGGCGTTTAACCAGATGGGAGTACTAATTAGTTGGGGAAGAAAACAGTGCTGAAAAACACGGTAGACCTTGAGCAAAAACAAGGAGATTAAACTACATTAACTGTTTTTATATAAGCACGAAGAGTTAGG